AGAAGAAGCACCTGAGAAGGATCTGATAAAGACACACACAGGCACTTTGTTAGAGCACAATGGCTGGATCCTTTAAATGTTCTTCCTCCACCCTAGATCCTCAAACAATGCTAAACACAACCAACTATAAAAAGATGTTTTATTTTTTTTTATTAAATGTTCAGCCCTGAGTCTCATGCCACTAACCTGATTGAAAGCAGTGAAAGAAAATTACTCCACATTTGCTTTACACCTGTTTTCACTACAATAACACAGAGAGTTTGTGGATCCATGAAGAAAATCCATAAGATTTCAATTCAACCAGTGATAATGACACAGTTACTGAGTAGCTCCCAAGTTCTACATCATTCTGTCTAATCTTCTTTGCACCTGATAATGAATGGGCACTTCATCTTCCATGTGAGAAAACATTTCAGTGAGCTATCAGGTCAAGATGCTGTAGGTTAGACTTGCCAACAAGTCTTTAATTAGTTATGAGTGACTTATTCACAAAACTAACCCTTCCCAAATGTATATTCCAAATATTCTCCATATTTGTATCTAAGTGTCACCAAACCAACAGCTCAGAACAGGTGAGGACCACACAAAGTACCCCCCAGGCCATCCTGTTCAGGCCAGTGGAGGCCAGGAGTGTCTTACAATACCTTCACTTGTAGCTTTGGGAATATTTTCCTTTTCCATCACAGAGTTTTCTTTCTGTGAGATTCTCCCATTTTTTGATACAGGCTCTGGGGCACACCTGCGAGGAACTGGTGTCTTCAGAGGAGATGTTTGTGTAGGAATCCCATTACTTGGAAAATGGCTTGAAAATGCTTCAGGGAACACAAGGAAAAGTAGTGATTTAAATGTTAACAATTTTCTTCATAGGAAAAGGTATCAGAGAATCCCAGAATGGTTTGGGTTGGAAGGAGATAATCTTTAATGTCCTTCCAACCCCCCTGCCATGGGTAGGGACACCTTCCACTATCCCAGGTTGCTCCAAGCCCTGTCCACCATAGTCTTGAACACTTCCAGGGATGGGGCAGCCACAGCTTCTCTGGAAAACCTGTGCCAGGGCCTCACCACCCTCACAGGGAAGAATTTCTTCCCAACATCCCATCTAACCCTGCCCTCTGTCAGTTTGAAGACATTTCCCCTTGTCCTCTCCCTCCATGCCCTCGGAGAATCCAGAAAAAAAAAAAACTAAGGAAAAAAAAAAGCCATGCCAGCTTTATGAATTTTTCATAAAAATGCAAAACACCACAGAACTAGTTAAAAAAGAAGACAGGAAGAACATTTTGTATCTCTGAATGCTATTACTAAGGGAGCAAAAAGCCCCAAACCTAACTGTAATATGAACTAGTTCATTACAGGCTTCCACACAGATTATTTCTCAGTAAGATTATTTTAAGTTAAGTCCAGGCCTCTCCTGGTGCAGAAGCACTTAGTAAACCAAAACTCTCAGTTTAATTTGAACTGGAAGAGACTGGAATATCTTCAGAAGATGTGGTCTGTTACATAGTACATTAGGCAATAAAACCAATCATACTGAAGGAACGTTTACTACTCATTATTGATGTGTTGTACAATCCAATATTAATGGAAACAAAATTAATGCAAAACTAAGACTGAAAATAAGGAACAAAGAGTTTGTCTTCACCTTGGGCAGGAGCATCACTGGTGGGAAACAAACCCCTCTGAGACAAAGGCACTTGGTTAGTGAGTGATCTCTGCTCTGGTTGCTCAGGTTGCTTTGTCAGGAGACTGGAGGAGGGCCCAGGACCCTGCTGGAACCCACGTGTGTTCACTGCAGAGCTGAGGAGATGAGACTAAGAGACAAAATTACAGAGTATTCCTGAGACAGGCTTTGATTTCCCCAAGGAAAAACCTAAGCATGAATAAATACTTGCCATGAAATCATGTTAAGTGGATTTTGACATTCTATTAGGGAGAAAAGTCATTTACAACAACCTCAGAATGCAGACAGGCTTGGACATTATTCTACCCTTCAAAAAGCACACAGGGTTTTTAAATATAACTTAAGTTTTTTAATTTGGCTACTTATTAAATAGAAGTTTCCTCAATTAACAAAGATCTAAACAATCTCTCAGAGGGAATGAGAACATTTCACAGTTTTTGCATTTACTTTCCACAGACACAAAGATTAGGGAGGAGGGGGAAGGAGATATCTGGGACAGAACAAGAAATAAAACTTTTCCCAAAAGCTCTAAACTCCCGAGCTGGCCACTGGATCTTTCTGCCTTTCTAATACTAAGACATAATCCAAATTATTACAGTATTAACACTGAGATACAGAAGAAATGATTAAGCTAAAGCTTCTGTGTTGTGACTTAAGATACCTGAATATTCATTTGCTGCTCCTGTAGCTTTTCCAGATGCTGAATCCGCTGCACCATGAAAGCATTCATTTGTTTTTCCAGCTCACTGACTCTGTGGTGACAGTGGGGCTTCTCCTGTTGAGCCCTCATATGGGTTTGCTGTTCAGCCACACGCTGCAGGTGTCTGTCTGTCTCCTGCAGTTTATTAAGTAATGCTGAAACTGAGTTCACTTTGGCTTCCAAATCGTTTTGGACCTGCAAGAGAGGACAAAAAAAAAAAAAAAAAAAAAAAAAAAAAAAANCTGTTGAGCCCTCATATGGGTTTGCTGTTCAGCCACACGCTGCAGGTGTCTGTCTGTCTCCTGCAGTTTATTAAGTAATGCTGAAACTGAGTTCAATTTGGCTTCCAAAACATTTTGGACAAAAAATTGAAAACAAAAAAAAAAAAAAAAAAAAAAAAAAAAAAAGAAAAAGGAAGGAGTGAAAAACACATTTTACTGGAGAAGTGGTGCAATCCAGAATCCTGGATTTGCTTCCCAAAAGACACAGTTAAAATCCTTGTTAGCCCTAATGTTTGGTGGCTCAGCAATATCACGAATTTTTAAAAGGTGAATCAAATGGTCTCTGTCTTTTGCCCATTCAGCCAAATCCAAAGGAGTTCCCTCTGGTGTGCTGGTCAGCGAGTGTGACATTACAGGCACACAGAAAACAGGGAGCAGACACATTCAGGCTCTGGGGAGCTACTACAAACAATCTGAGGCTTGTTTGGAACACCTACTATTTTTAGTGGACGAAGACCTAACACTCCCACAAGCCACTTACTCACCTTGAGGAGTGGGGCTGTGCTGGCAATGGCAGCAGCAGTGGCTGCTGCAATGGTTGTTGCAGAGTCCACTTCCCTGGCTGCTGACCCGGGCTCGTGTCCAACACCTTCCCTTCTTTCTGTGGAGGCATTTCCCAGGAGCTGCACCTTCACCTCCTTAAGTACAGGAGTATTCTGAGCTCTATAAAAACAAGTGCCTGTCAATAGCATTGTTTTCTCCATATCCCCTCCAAGCAAATGATTCCCCACACGTAGCACTGACATCACTGTATAAGCTTTTCTCCTTGAAGCTTTCAGCACACATGAAACAAATTTACTCTCATCTTTCAGGATGACACGAGAAGTGTCTCAGGTTTATGTTAACATAAAAGGCATTTTCCTGTAACCACAACAAAGAATGTGTTTGCAGTTTGTGTTTTGTGAAGTTCAATGTTCCAGGCTGGATGGGGCCTGGAGCAACCTGGTCTAGTGGAAAGTGTTGGAAGGGGGTTGGAACAAGATGGTCTTTAAGGTCCCTTCCAACCCAACCCGTTCTGTGATTTTGTGATTCCAGTAGCCAAGTCCAACTAAATTTTTGATCCTCAGAATTTCCAGCCTACAGATAAACAGCACGTGTCCTTATCTGTCTTTAAAAATGTAACATGGTTTTGGCACAAGGTGAATTATCTTGCCTGAGTCTTCTATCACAAAATCATTAATTCCAGCAGTCTAAAGGTATTCTCAAAAATACACAAAATAAACAGTGAATGATACTCCAGTGAATGATAAACTGAAAACACCTTCACAGACAGAAAAAGAATAGTAACAGAGAACAGTAAATAATACTTTTTTCCTTGCCAGCTAAACATTTTGGCAAAAACTGAAGGGGTATAATTGGATATCTGTAAAGAAACAGGACAGCTGAGTCACCACCAACAGCACATACTTACTTTTGCTTTAACACTGCTCTCAGAGCCTCCTTCTGCCCAGTAGCATATTGAGAAATAAAAACATCATCTGCGGGGAAGGATATAAACAAACTTTGTGGAGCTAACTGACACAAAATGTCTATTTTACAGGTAGAAACAAAGTATAATTTCAATACATATAGTTCTGCTGTGAAGAATCTGCTGCCTACACAAACCACAGTAACCAATTGTTTCCCTTCACTGAGTTAACAGACTTAAGTAATGATGAGAGTAAAGGAAGGCCTCATTTAACACAACTTTATATAATATTGAATGTTGGTACCAATGAAATCTAACAATTGGAAGTAAAGTCTAAAGGGTAACTTGAGCTCAGACAACTCAGTGCATAAAACGCTGCAAATTCTAACTTGAAAAAAATTAATTAAAAAAAAAAAGGACTGTGTATTATTTCCCTACAGTCATCATAAATTACAACAAATTTTCTCAATAGCTGCAAATCATGCTAAAACGACTGCAGGCTCTCCCTCAGCAGAGGAAACAACCCCAGATGTGGCAAGTTTGGAGCTTCCCTGCTGCTGCTGCCACACAGCTTGTACCCAAGTGCTGATAAGCTGCTGCCTGTGAGAATAGAAGAGGAAACAAAAGTATTGATTTCTGGCCTTAAACAGTGCATTGATTTGTGTTTCTTTTCTCTACACAGCCCCAGATATCCAAGGAACCTGCAAAAGTGTATTTTCTTCAAAAAGTCTTCCCCTTCCATAAGTCTGATTGGAGCTGGCAGATTCAGAAGTTAAAGACATTGACACTGTGATTTCTTAAGGTTCTTAACTATTAAAAATATACTTTTAGGGTATAGGCTGCCTGGAGAAAAATATGCCTTTGTAGTACAATTATTCACATCAGGAAAATGCATCCAAGCAAGCCCTTCCCCTCTATTCAGAGACATGAATAGTTTGATCAGCAAAAAGAATTTCAACATTCTGGTGAACTTGTAGAAGTCCCACTCAGTTAATCACAAGAGCTACTGCAATGCCAGCAAGAATGAGGCAAATTTTGCAAAATTCAAGACTGTAAATTACAATGATCATCTGTTTATCAAAGAAAAATTGTAATATTTTCCCTCAAGAGCTTCCATAATGAAGAAAAATAAATACCTAAGATAAAATTAAAGCTCCTTTTTCCTCTAATTGATCCGTTTTCTCACAAAAAAGGGGCTATATCAGTAGATTGATGTCTTACCTTCAGGTTCTCTGCTGTCCTCCAGTAGCAGTGAAGGATCTTCCTGCACTGCAGCTTCTCTAGGAAAATCCTTCAGAAAAAGAGCAGAAAAGGCAACATCACAGCCTTTGCTTTCAGTGGCCAAAATTTTAGAAGTAGATGGAATTGTACAAATTATTACACAAATGGAATCATACCCACACACAAATACAAGGTCTTGGCACAAAACCTGTTACAATCTCCACCAGAGAATCATCTGGACTTGGTAGTCAAGAACTCACATGGCCTTTTAGGGACTAAAACCTTAGAAACACAATTCAGATTAAAGCTATATATTTTAAGTGCTGATTAAGTGTATTCTCCTCATTTATGGCCAAAGAAGTAGTAGTGGAACTATACTTGTGTAAGTTTAGCCAAAGGGCTAATCTCAAACAATTCAGGATTGCCCCCACACAGAGAATTAAGTAAGTGTTAAAGAATTCCACATAAACTAATGTCCATTTCTTTCCCTATGATATGAAGAGGAAAAAATAAAAAAAGTTTCACGGTTTTAACAAATATTGTGTCGTGTGCACCCACATTTTCAAAGGAAGAATTACACCAGAATTTAAAAACAAGCCTTGGTATTAATTATGCAACAGGCAGTACAGCAAATAAAGCCCCTCCAGACACCTCAGCATTAATATCACGTTGGCAGGAAAAAGCAACTGCAAAGTTGTTGTGCAAAGTCTGAGCCAAACATTTGTGATGTTTTCAGAAGAGCTACAGCTTTTTGAGGAAAATGCTGTTTTGTTCTCTTAGTTCAGGATTGCAGGAAGCAACAGCAACTTTTCTTACCATTTGGGATAAAAACACGGGCTCTGCATCTTCCACTGGAAGCAGAAGTTCTGGATATCCCGTAGTGCTGAGGACTCCTAAAAACAAAAGCAGTTTTACTGTGGTCATAATCACCCGTTGTGCATTTTCACTACAGCTTGGCTGACCCAAATCTCCACATCCCCCTTCTCTTTGAATCCCTAAACATCACGACTTTCCAAACAGAAGCAAGGGTGGACTTGGAGCTGAAGTTTATAAACACCGATGAGTTCTGAGAGCCTGGATGAGAGACTTGCTTTACAGCACGCGAAAAAGACTCTGAAAAACAGATTATTAAACATCCTTTAAACTGGGAATAAACAGGGATGTTTAACAGGGAATAAACATCCCTGCCCCCATGGACAGGCACACCTTCCCCTAGACCAGGTTGCTCCAAGCCCCATCCAACCTGGCCTTGAACACTCACAGGGATAGGCCATCCAGAACTTCTCTGGACAACCTGTGCCAGTGTTCTACCACCCTGCACAACTCGGCTTCTACGTCTGGGAAAACAAGGAGTGCTGACATGTGCGGGAGGAGAATACAAAGATGCCTTAATCATGTAAGTCCTATATGGCTGCAAACGCTTCTCAGGGGTTCCAGCACCAGCCTGAGCTGCCCCTGACTGTACCTTATGGTAAATGGAGGTAAATGATGGTAAGTGATGGCAAGTGACGCACCTGGAGTGGCGCTGCGGGGGGTGCGGGGGGTCCCATTGGGGGTCGCACCTGGAGTGGCGCTGCGGGGGGTGCGGGGGGTCCCTGCCCTGCCCGGGGCCGGGGGGGCTCCGTGTGCGGCCGAACCCGCCCCGGGGGCCGGGCACGGACAGAGCCCCTCACGGAGCTTCTGCACCGCCAGCCTCACCGCCCTCCCGGGGGGCTTCTCCCCGCGGGGCCCCGTGGAGCGGATCAGCACATCGCCCGCCGTGAGGCTGACCAGGGAATCCCGGCTGGAGCTGGAGCCGCTCTGCGCTTCCATGGAAGTGGGTGGGTGGGTGGTGGCGGGGGGGGAGAATCTCACACAGTGGCGGCCTGAGGGCTCCGGGGCGCGGCTCCCTCGCAGGTCGCGGGCGCGGCCGCCGTGCCTGGCGGGCAGAGAGCCCCGTTCCAACCCCGCTCCGCCTCAGCCGCTCCCGCCGGCGGCGCGCGCTGCCATGGCCACCGGCGTTCCTTCCCCTAAGAGCGTCCGGCGGGAAACGCCGCGCCCGGCGGGAGAAGGGGGAGCGGGGAATCGGCCGATTCGTCAGTTCTTGTGGCGAATCTGCGGGGCCCGTGCGGGGCCGCGGCCCTTCGCGTGCGCCCCTCCCCGCCCCGCGGCGAATCTGCGGGGCCGCGGCGCGCGTGGGGCCGGTGAGTGCGCGGGGGGGACGGGACGGGACGGACCGGGAGCGTTCCTGAGGGACCGGGAGAACCCGGCAGGGACAGGGAGTGTTCCTCAGGGACAGGGAGGTGTCCTGAGGGCCCGGGAGAGTTCCTGAGGGCCCGGGAGTGCCCGTGAGGGCCTGTGAGTGTTTCTGAGGGTCCAGAAGGGCTCCTGAGGGACAGGGAGCGCCCTTGAGGGGCCGGGAGTGCTCCTGAGGTGCCGGGAGAGCCCGTAAGGGACCCAGAGTGTTCCTGTGCGGCCAGGAGGGCTCCTGAAGGGCCGGGAGCATTCCCGAGGGACCAGGAGAGCCCGTGAGGGATGGGGAGAGCTCGGGAGGGCTCCTGAAGGCCCGGGAGAGCCCGTGAGGGAGCGAGAGTGTTCCTCAGGGACGGGGAAGGCTTCTGAGGGACAGAGAGTGCCCGTGAGGGTCCGAGAGTGTTCCTGAGGGACCGGGAGGGCTCCTGAAGGCCCAGAAGGGTTCCTGAGGGACAGGAGCGCCCTTGAGGGACCGGGAGGTTTCCTGAGGGACCGGGAGGGCTCCCGAGGGCCCGGGTGTGTTCCCGAGGGCCGCGGAGCGCTGGTGAGAGGCCGGGAGCGCTCCCTGAGGGGCCGGAAAGGGAAAGGCTGTCCCTGCCCGGGGGTTTTCCCGGCGGGGAGAAGGGCGCTCCGTGCCCGGGGTTGTGCCGGGGTTTGGCTGAGCAGGGGGAACCCAAGGTGCCCTTGGAAGGGGGAGCTGGAGGATGGAGTGAAAGGAAAAAAAAAAAAAATAATCGATGCGAAGTTTTTTTATCTCCAGCTTTTGATTTTGTAGGGTCAGAAGTGTCAGCCAGGTCTGATCTAACTTAAATAGGAGACACTTATGGGAAAAGGTGTGTTTCCTCCCAGGACAGGCCCTGGCACGTGTTCCGTGTGTTCAGAGAGGCTCTGTTTTAGCACTGACTGTGGTAACTCACCTTTGGTGTCAGATTTCTACAATTCATCTCTTTTCCTTCAGGGTCCAGCCCAAATCCAAGAGACTGTGGGTTAGAATAACCTGTGCACCAGGTACAGCTGCTTATCCAGCCTCCTTCTGACCAGCCCCTTTCTCACCTCACCATGTGATTCTCACTTCTTTAAGGGCCCTTAGCCTCTTAAAATCAATTAGTTTGGGTTTTTAAAAATCTAATACCAATCAGATTTTAGCCTGATGATCCCCAGCAATAAAGAGAACTTTATAGGCTGTAGGGGCTTTATCTTGATATAGTTCTTTGCATCCATATTTTTATTCTTTATCTTGACACAAGTCTTTGACTCAATGTTTTTATTCCTCTTTACTTTGGCACATTTCTTTGACTTGATGTTTTTGTTCTTCCTTGTCCTTTTCAGAAACACTCACGTGGTGTTCACTGTGTACAACTGGAAGCAAAGGCTTAAAAAGATATTTATCTTTATCTTGATAGAGCTTTATCTTGATAAAGTAGGTGTTTACCTACATGTAATTCAGATGTTAATCAGGATAACAAGCATGATGGATTTATGGTGTCTCTCCACCACCTCTATCCCCAGGAAAATGCAGCTCCTCACAAAAAGGTGGAAAAATTCCACCCCAAACACAGGGCTTGTTTGGCTTCCATGGGAAAGGATCTCCTGACTCCAGATTAGGTCATGGACAAGGAATGGTGGTTACTTGGGTGGGAAAAGAAACTTCCTCCAAGCGCTTCACCTGTAATAACTGCAGGCTGGTGATGGAGGGAGGCTTTTTGGTCACCCAGCAGTACAGTAATCACAATTAAAAGTTGTGTTCCAATTATTAGCACTTAGGAGTTAAGATCATGATCCCCCTGCCTCCAGAGGTCTGGAGGCACAGCTGGGGAGGCTGCATTCCCACAGATCAGAAGTTTTTTAGAAGAGTTCTGACATCTGTAGTTCTGGCTCCCGTTCCTCCTGCCGTGCTCAGGATCCTTCACCTAATCACTGGTTTTAGTTACAAACCAGCTTTTCCTTAAGAAGTGGACTGTGTTTATGTTTCCATGGCAATGGGAGTGGCAGCCACAGCAGAGGCAACTATTAGAAGCATTTTCCAGATTCTAAAACTGAGCTGGGAGCTGGGGTGGATCTTGCACAGAGAACAGGTTTGAATGGGCTAAAGGCTATATTTGTGGAAAAAGGATGGAAAACCCATAATGCCTAAGTAAGAGAAACCCAAACCTCGGGTTATCCTTAACTGCTTATTTTACTCAAAGGGACTTGTCTTAATGTCTGTTCAGAACATCAAAACATATCTGGAATGGCTCCAGGGCCTTTCCAGAAGGGAGATTTCTCGGGCTTGCTCCTCTCCCGGTGACCCAGCACACCTGGACCACGTGGCCCTTGCAGCAGAGGTTTATTCAGAGATCTGCTTCCTTCCGTGTGACTTGTTTAAAAGTGCAGTCCCGAATTTCCAAATCACATTTAGCCCAGAGGAAAGTCATCCAGGCTCTCTAGGATTAAAGCTGAGCACTCTGGAGTGGTGTGAGCAGCTCTGTGGGGAGCTCTGAGGGGGGTTAGTCGAGATGCCAAGCCCTGGAATGGGCTCTGTCATCCCTGGATTTTAAGCATTTTTTTAGAGGTTGGAAGGGAAAGGGAGAAACAGCAGGAAAGCTTGAAATGATACATTTACCAGACATTAGAGCAAACCAGATATGCCCATTCCTGAGAATGCCCAGGTAGCACATTTTTAGGTGTTCAGGCCTGTGATTTACAGCTAAAGGTGCAGCAGTGCTGTGGGATTTCACTGCTGGGCTGTGGAACGTGTGAAACACCTGCACTAGGACAAGGGCTGCAGACACTGACAATCAGATGGTGCCTTTGTTCTGATGTGAATCAGAGTCTTTCTCAGGTGTCAGAGCTTTGTGAAGCTGGAGTTTCAATCTGCAGTTTTGAATCTTGCCAAACTAGTCCAGAAAAACAGACCAGGTTTGCTATAAACAGAAATTAGGAAGCAACACTGAGTGTGAGAAAATGGCACTGACTGTTGAAGCTTTGAGCTTCCTGTGCTTGGCAGAGGCAAAAGTCTTTCCTGTGGTTTCTGTCTCTTTAATTATCTACCTACACTGACCTGGGAGAATTGTCACTGTCCTTATTTTCTCACAGGCTGAGAAATGGGAGTGGAGTTGCCATCCCTTTTCACCAGTTGTTGTCCCCCATAACGGTCATGTCCTAAAACAAGTTAGAGGTTTACCATGGAGAAGGAAGACTGGAGAGGGACTATGGACAAGGGCCTGGAGTGACAGGACAAGAGGGAATGACTTCACACTGACAGGGGGCAGGGATTGGATACTAGAAAGAAATTCTTGGCTGTGAGGGTGGTGAGGCCCTGGCACAGGTTACCCAGAGAAACTCTGGCTGCTCCATGGAAGTGTTCAAGGCCAGGTTGGATGGGGCTTGGAGCAACCTGGGATAGTGGAAGGTGTCCCTGCCCACGGCAGGGGGCTGGAACTGAATGATGTTTAAGGTCCCTTCCAACCCAAAGCAGTCTGTGATTCAGTGACAACCTGAATGACATCTTGTTTCCTCTTAACCACCATATTCTGTAGATTCTCCTTCAGAATAACCTGTGTGCCCATGAGGAATTCTTGGTTGTGGGGATGTCCATCTTAAATCCAAGAATCATAGGTGCACTTGACCTCCAGTCCCTGAATTGGCTCCCTGTGTGATGTTGAGGCAGATGTCATAATCCCTGTGCTGCTGGGAAGGGGTGTAGGGAGAGTTCATCCTTGTGAGAGCTCCCTGGTGCTATTTTTGGTTGCTTAGTTTTCTTTCTGTTGTAGAAATAATTGTTACTGTCTCTTTGTTCTTGTTCAGGCAGCCTGTGTACCCCTTCCCTTCCCCCGCTGAGAGACTGGAATAGTTAAAGCTTTCTAAAACGTGAATGTCTTGCCCAAAATTTGGCAAAGCATAACAGAAGATTAATTGTGAGGAGCCTTTGCTAAAGGGCTAAATGAAGTTTTTTTCCACAAAATGATTACACTTCAGTGCTCATTTTTCTTCCACAAATTGATATGAATTAGACTGAAGGAGCTTCTTCTCATCTACATGTGATATTAGTTTGCAGTGTCATCTGTGATAGGACTTAGATAATATGGAAATTAAGGGAAAAGGAAGACTAGGTTTCAGTATTCCTCCAGGAAACGTGCAGGGATGCTTTCAAGCCTTAACTTGTTTAGTGTGCTGGATTAGGAGTGTGAGTCTTCCTTGAGGATGCTTGCTTAAATTCTTGGATCCATGTTTCTTTGTTTGTTTTCCTTTAAGGCCATTCTCATTCTTCTGTGTTTTCTCCCATTTAATTCACTCCAGTCAAGGACCAGAACATTTGTTGTAGTTTTAAGTGCTTGGTGCAGCTACACAGAAACCAGGCCCTGCTGCTCTGAGTCAGCCTGGCTTGTGCTGCATTTATTCAGAGGGGCTGCCAGTTTATATTTGCCTTTCTTCCTTACTTTTCACAGATGGCATCTAAAGTCACTGAAACTCTTAAGGCCAGAAAATGTTATGGCTTTGCTTCTCCCCCAGCTCCCACCCTAGTTTTACTTTGTGAGTTTGACAGCACTTAAAAAACATAAATAAGGTATTTTATAAGTTACTTCAGCTGTTTGAAATGCCTTAAAGTGTTTCAAGGACAGCAATTAACAGGTGGATCTGGGAAGGTTTTGTACCTGGAATTATCGTGGATGTTCTTTTCACTGAATACATTTCAAATAGGTAACTCCCCTTTGAGGGAATGTCTGGGAAGTTTGCCAGCAAAGTCCCATTTAAACACCCTTCAAGGGTGTATAAAATTCCATTCTGATGTAAATGTTGCAGTTCATATTTATGCTTTTTGTGTGAAACTTGTCTTTTATCTTCAGAACAGGTGACTGAGCCATAGGTGGTGGAATATGGCTGGACAAATATCAGAGTCTGACCAGATCAAGCAGGTGAGATGTTGCATTTGTAAGTGGTGGCTTTGAAGACCTTTTACTACTTTGTCACATTGAGTGACAGGTGTAGGGCATGGAGAGGAAATGTAAGTTATCATCTGGGTTAAGACTTGTTCTGTAGCAACCAAGATTTAAACATTTGACTGTTGACAAGCACAGTTTAGTATCTGATTCAAGTAGGGGCAGCATTTCATGCTGAAACCTTCTGATCAATAGTAAATTTTTGTAGTGACTTATCCTTCGGTATCAGTGTCACCAGCTGGGCCAGGCAGGTGTGTGTAAGAAAAATCAACACAGAATTTGTTTTTAATACTCATTGTCCAGTTTTTATTTACAGTTCAAGGAATTTCTTGGCACGTACAATAAACTTACAGAAAACTGCTTCCTGGATTGCATAAAGGATTTCACCAGCAGAGATGTGAAACCAGAAGAGGTAGGTAATTGCTTCTAATGACCCTTTCGTAGAATTGCTGTTTAACATTCCAATTTCAGAAGCAACTTAGAGAGTTTTGATCTTTCCAGTGGCTAAAAACCCAGGCAGGAGGTTCTGCAGTGGAGAATGGGGGCCTGGCATGTTGCTTCCAAGTGAGTGCCCCATCCCTAGAAGTGTCCAAGGCCAGGTTGGACAGGGCTTGGAGCAACCTGGGCTAGTGGAAGGTGCCTCTGCCCATGGCAGGGGCTGGAACGAGCTGGTCTTTAAGGTCCCTTTCCACCCAACCCATTCCAGGAGTAGGTTGTTGGTACTACACACACAGGGAACCTGCCCCATCTCTGTTGAGTACTGGCTGCTCATTGCAGTTGTGTCATTCCCTGAGCTGTCAGTGGAGGTTCCTGTGTCCCACCTTCTGAGGGATGGTGACTCTGTGGACATGGAAGTTGCCTGCCTCCAGCACATCTCAGTCTTTGAACAATCCTGCTGAAACAGTTGTTTACTTACCCACATTCCTGCATTGCAGTGTGTCCTGGGAACACGGGCCTGCACAGCTCTGGCTGTTAAATCCACTGCTCTGCACTGCAGGGAGCTCCATCACACAGTCACCTGCAGAAAACATTAAGCTCTCGATGAGATTAGTTGCATGTTTTTGCTTCTGCTCCTGTTGAGAGGCTGTTTCAGAGCTAATAATTTTGTTGGTTAAAAGTCTAATAACCTTTGTTTGACTCCATTGGAAGGGGAAAAAAAACCCCTGAAGTTATAAACCAACCTTTGTTTTTAAGCATTTTCTGCCTCCTCGGAGTTCAACTCCTCAGTGCAGGCTGAAATTATGTCTCCTTTCAGCTCAGGTTCTGCTGCTCTGGACAAAGCTCTCTTACTTCCAAAGACAGATTTCTTCTTTCCCTGATCTTCTCTGCATCTGCTTTAGTGGAATTCTATTACAGGTCATAATTATTCTGAATTAAACATTATTTAGGTCCAAAACATATTCTTAGGTTCTCTGAGCAACCTGGTCTAGTGGAAGGTGTCCCTGCCCATGGCAGGGGGTTGGAATGAGGTGAGCTTGAAGGTCCCTTCCAACCCAAACCACCTGGTGATTCTGATCTGCCTTTTTTTGCTTCTGTGAGTTGTAGAGGGTCCATGTCTGGTAGTACAGGAGCCATCTGTTAACAGGGGAACTAGGAAGAAACTTTCTTGTGGGAAGTTTTGTCCATAATTAACCATTATGGGATTTCTTGCAGAGCACGTCTCTGGCCCCTGCTGGGAACAGGACACTGGTCTAGATGGACCACTGCTCTGATCTGCTGTGGAAATTCCCATGTTCCTCTTTAAAGTTGTAGTTTTTTATTAAATACTTGAGATTAATACCTCCAGGCATCTCCTTTGGGATTCTGTACTGGAATAAACAGCTCCTGACCTCTTTCCCTGCAGCAAGTCTCCACTGCAAGTCTAGACTTCCCAGGCATGGTGTCACAAATACCACTCCCTCTGGGAGCACAGGCTTGGGGTAGTTCCAGAATGTGTTTTTTTTCCTTGTGAGACTTCACTCCTGCTCAGCAGGTTTTGCTGCAGCTGATGCCAGGCCAAGGTGTAGCTGTGTGGGGTTTGGTCTTGTTCATTTTCATCCCTTCTGCTTTTCACATCTCTTTGTACCGAGCAGAACCAAAGCAGTTTTCTGGTTTTCTAAGTCATCAAGGAAAGTGTTTGGCTTTCCTTTCTGTCCTCCTGCAGTGACAGCAAGGTTTTGAACCCTGGCACAGAATTGGTAGAACTGGTGGTCAGAAAGAATCTCACAACTCTTTATCTACACTTAAAGAAAGGAAAAAAAAAACCACTTTAAATTTTAAACATTCTATGGATGGAGTAGTCCTGGTATTTACTTCCCTGTCCAGCAGACTGATGTGCTCTGGTTGTTTTGCTGAAGGGTAACCAAGCAGGTACCAGAAAATTAACAGAGCTAAGTGGGAACAAGGTTAAAAAAAGGTTAAGCTGAGCTTGCAGAGACTGGACCATAAAACAGTATGTGTTTGTAAACAGAATTAAAACAAAATATATTAATTTAATAGATTTATGATTTATTGCAAAATACAGAGTTTAATTTCACGAGAGGAGCCCAAGGATGAAATGGTAATATATCCTAGATCCTAAATGTTTTCCATGGAGGCTTTCATATGAGAATGAATACTAAAAGGTGTTTCAGGCATCCCTTAAAAACTAAACTTCACAATTAAACTTCCCATTTTCTACTGCCCTCATCCAGAGGTTGAACAGTATGAGATGTGCTCACCTCACTGTTTGTCCCTGTATGTGATGATACTTTGGGTCCTGGCTGGGGAAGTGTTTTAGGTATTGTTTAAAGCCTTCTGTCTCCCTCTTCCTCCAGATGACCTGCTCAGACAACTGCCTGCAGAAGTATTTAAAGATGACACAGAGGATCTCCATGAGATTCCAGGAGTACCACATCCAGCAGAACGAGGCTCTGGCAGCCAAGGCAGGACTGCTCAGCCAACCTCGTTAGAGGAGAGCCCTGTGCTCAGACTTACCAAGCTGTGCCAGAACACAGTTGGGAATTCCTGCTGTTGGGATGTGTGTCCAGCAGCTTGGAACAGAGTTCCAGGTACTGCTCAGACAGTGGGATCCATGAAGGGTTAAACAGGAAGTCAGTCATGGTGGCCTGGCCATGGAGTCTGTCTCCGAGGTCCTTTTCACTCCACAGTGATGTGGATACAACCCTTCCCAGGGCCCACAGACTGGTGTGTTTGAATTCCAAGGGTGGTGGGAGGGTTAAACTGCCTTTTGCTGGGACTGGTTGAGATGAATCAATGGAATATGGGAAATACACTTTTTTATTTAATTCAAATAAAATCAGTGGGAGCTGGACCCAGGTTTGTATGTTCTTTCCAAAGATCCATTTTTGGGACACTGGGAGCAGTTGTGTTTGCTGGGGGCTCTTTGCTCAGCTCCTGCAGAGTCATGTTCCTTCAGTGCTGCTTCAAGGTGCTGACAGAACCCAGAGTGGGCTCAGGCAGGGCTGCTCTGCCAGCTTTCCCCCAGGGTATCTTTGCCTCCTGCTTCACCCTGTCATTCCCAGGGACACAGGGTGTCATGAACATCACTCGTGCCCCAGGCAATGCCTGTGCACTCCTTGTTTCCCTCAGGGAACCCCACAGGGTCCTCCAAACCCAGTCCTGGCCTGAGGCACTCCAAGCACTGAGCCTGCTGGCAGCTTTCCCGCTGCTGGATGAGTCCAGGGAAGTTTGGGTTAGTAGACACCCCAGTCCTTTGAAAGGACCCTGATAGCTGCAATCCCTCCCTCAGGCCATTGGTGCAGGGGAAGGGTGGTGAGCAGGACATTGAGCTCCAGTTCTAACTCACAAAACACAGGGACAAAGGGAACTGAACATCAGGAGCACCAGTTCTGAGATTCCAGGTGATGAAGACTGAACCGAAGCTGTTCCACAGCACCTGCCTGGTTCTGTTTGTAGAGAGGCAACACAAGGAACAGAAGTGACAGGAACTGTCCACAGGCTTTTGTGTTGTTCCCTTCTCCAGCTTATTTCCAGGAGCAGTTTGAATGAATACTTTCCTCCCTGTTTATTCCTTCTCAAACTCTCAGCTGTCCAGGCTGTGGATTACAGGCCCCTGATGGCAGCACAGTGCACCTGCCCCTTCCACCAGACACTGGAGTTTAAAACTGCCCCAGCTCTCCATGGAATTCTGTGCCTGTGCCTTCCAAAGGTGGAAGAAACCAGTATGATCCCACAGTCTCATACACCTGTGTTTTGTCCCCGCTATAGCACAGCTTTTCCTTGTTACCTTGGAGATGGCCAAGAGCTCACTCTGAAATAGTGAAGCCTAAAAACCAGCCCAAATAAGGCAGCAAGTCTCCAGTATCCTGATTTTTAATGGAATAACGGGCTAACAATGTCCAGATTGTTCGCTGCAATCAGGCCACAAATGTTATGGCCATTAGAATCAACACATCCATAGTAAAGGGTGAAGGGTTTCCTTAAAGCTGGCATTTGTTAAACATTTGGAAGTAATCCATGATGGAGAATTTCCATTTGATCTTTATGTGCAAAAAGGTGCTCAGAAAAGTGACTAAAGAGGTTAAGTGATGGAATTGGAGGATTTTCATGTCTCCTGGGCAAAGTGCCTTGAGGCTGAATTTAGAGGGGTTAAAAAAAATGGTGTTCCCTCATTTCAGTATTTGGGGGTAGGAAAATAGTTAAATATTTATTAATACAGCTTTCCTGTACAAAAGGTTAAGCAAGTGTTAAAGGGACTGAGTTCATAAATTACTCACTTTCAGGCCTGCATAACTAGTTTTGTCCAAGCTCTGTTTCACTCCAAAAGTGTTGTAATCTTTCAAATCCAAGTGACTCCTTGAATACAGATGATACAAATACATTTCAGCTTGGAAACAAAGTGCATCCACGTAACTAAAGCATCCATGTGGTGCAGGAAGCAACAGGGAAAACTTCCTTAACAGATTAACTTGCTTTGCTGAGGTTTAACTTCCCTTTGCTTCCATGACAAGTTGGCACATCCTGATGGCCACCTCAAACTGTGTCATTGGAAAAGATCTCCCAGTACCCATGTTTTCTCTCCCAGTGGTACATTCCAACCTCCATGAGATTGCTTAATGTGGAACAGTCTCCATCCCTCTCCACTGACTGGTTTGGGTTGGAAGGGACCTTAAAGCTCATCTCATTCCAAGCCCCAGCCGTGGGCAGGGACACCTTCCAGTAGACCAGGTTGCTCCAAGCCCCATCCAACCTGGCCTGGAAAAATTCCAGGGATGCTCTTCTGAAATAGCCTCAAGTTTACATGGCATAATGAAGTGCACAGCCAAAATCAGAATAAAAATGGGATTATGGCTTAGTGCCTGGATCCTGAGGGAAAGGCAGCAGCACTTCAGCTGAGGTGTGTGGGGAGGAGGTGAATCAGCACTCCTGAGGTGCAGGAATGGAACCAATTCTGAAGGAAGGAGGAGCAAAGGGTGAGAAACAGTGTTGCTGAGGAACAGTGAGAAAGCTGTGGAAAAAGTGAGCCAGAGGGGAGGTGGGAGGGGAGGGAACTGGAGGGCAGCCTGCCAAAAACTGGCTGGATGAAACTGAGCTGGTAAACAGACACTCACTGGGAGCTGTTCACTGCAGCGGAGACAGGAACACGGATCCTTCCTTCCCAAAGGAGTGTCTGCACCCAGAGGCTGGAAACACACGGAATTCCTGTCAGCCCACAGGGAGCAGAACCATTCCAGCAGGAAGGGTCAAACCAGAGCCTTGTTCCAGAGTGCCCCAGACATCAGCAGTGCTGCCAGAGCCATCGGATCAATCAGCTGGAAGATTATAATAGAGGCTCCTTGGATTCTGTCCAGGATAAAAGCAAAGCCCGAATTTATGTCATCCCCTGCTGAGAGGCTGCAACGGCTGAGCTCTGTTGGGAGGCAGGAAAAGGAGCTGCTGCAGCCCCCTGTGAGGGAGTGGGGGTGAAACACCAGCGTGGCTGTGCTTCAGTGCAGAGGCAAATCCCCTGCTCTCGGACATACCTGGCTCTGAGAACTGGAGCTCAACAACAGCTCTTTTTCAGCATTTCTCTTAGCTGGGTTAGGAAGTCAGCACATGGAATTTGAGGAATCTCGTTAACTCTTGGGAATCCATTAAGCTCAGCTCCCAAATTCCTTGAATGAGCGTGGCCCACACTCTAAAACCTGTAAAAGCAATTAGAGCTTGTGACACTTAAACCTGAGCCTGCACCCTGAGCTCCCAGCAGAGAGCATGGAAAGAGTTCTACAAAGTTACAATTCTGCTTTACCTTAGAATGTTTTAAAAGTTGTGTTTTACCTTAACTCCATACCCCTTATTGTTTTGGTGTCTGGCTCCGTCTGTGAACACCCAGGGAGCATTCAACATTCAACCTTTAGTAGTTCAGGCTGTAAAATGATGGTCACATCTTTTCCCAGGATTTTTCACCCACGGAAACAGATGTAACTGAAAGACATACAAAAAGAGCCTAAATTGGTCTTAAAATAAATGTCTACACTTACACAGTGCTTGAACAGCCCGAGGTTGGTTACAGTTTTTTATCCTGTGACTCTTTTGCCTCTAATCCAAGGGAAGGTGAGAGGGCTGCAGGGGGAACTGGGCTCACTGTACAAATCCAAGGAAGTGCACCTGACATATCACCAGTTGTTTGTGTAACACAACAGGGAGCTTACCTAAATTTCAAATAAGTAAAGCAGAAATCCAGTTGGGGCTATTTCTGTGTTTTACAGATCCTGCCCTTGCTGGGAGATAGAACTGGATCCTCTTTCCCTCTCCTTCCACCCAAGCCCACGGGGCATTCCTGTGTGTGCTGCTGCCCCAGGGATCTGCCAAGAACTCCAAGGTGTGGCTGAGGGAAACGGGTTTCAAGGCTTCGCAGCCAGGGACGGTCTAACCCCCCTAATCAGTAGGAAAGGGGTGCTGGCCACCTCTCCTGCTCTTTTTTTCTGCTTGGATCCCTGGGAGAAAGTGCCTCTGTGTCCCACAGAATACTTGGATTCCCTGGGGACGGTGGCAGGGCCTGAAGAGAAGAGCTCTGGGACCTCGGTGCTATCCCCTCCTCCCTTGGGACCTGGTGGCTCTTCCGGCCCCTTTGTGGGAATCCCCATCCACTGATCACCCTGTGGATTGTCCCTTCCCCTCTGGGGTCCAGCACAGTGGTGATGGGAACAGTGAGTTCTTCACAATAAGTCAGGGAGAACGGACACGTACAACAGCATTTTTACAAAAACAATTGGAATTCGATCACAGGAAATACATTATTGACTACTTTTCAAATTAAACTGTTGTTATATTTCTGTCCAGACTGCACCAGGGTGGCCAAAAGGCACGGGGAGGTGGCTGGGTCACACCACAAGGCACCTGGGGCACCAGGGGCAGGATCACCCTGCAGTGTTCTGAGACACGGAGACTCCTGGGGCACAAGCAAAGCTCAGAACCTGCACTGACCTGCCAAAATGCACACAGGGGCTGCCTGAGCCTATGGAAAGGCAACAGGGAGTCCTGGGGCATCCCAAAAGGCTGCTGCTCAGCAGGGTGTTCCTTGGATGCTGCCTTGGCAGAAAAGCGATGAGACATTGCAGAGAGGTGGGTGATGGGGACCGGGCAGGGGGGATGTGCCGGAGCCAGGACCAGCCAAGGCCTTGGATCAGGAACACGGAAAACAAGGACCAACAGCCCATGTGGAGAGGAAAGACAAGCAGGCACCAAGGGGCCTCTGTCCCTTCCCCAGCCCAGGAGGCTGAGGTGGGCTTGGCCATTGGGGAGGAAACAAGGATAGACTGAGCCCCAGGGGAACAGAGCCTGCCTGAGGTCTGATTCCTGGGCTAGTGACGGTGTCCCTGTCCATGGCAGGGGGTTGGAACTACGTCATCCTTAAAGGTCCCTTCCAATGCAAACCATCCTGTGATTCCCCAGAGAAAAGAGAAGAAAATATGGGTTGATTTAGAAGAGGAGAAACACATTTCACTGCTTGCCCACACATCCCTGGGGAAGGCAGGACGTTGCAGGGGACATGTCCCTGTGTGCTGGGACATTCCAGCAACAAAGGCTTTATGTGAAACCAGCTCCAGGCTACGTGTAACACCAAATGATTGTTCAAAGACATAGAGATGTGTTACCCTGCCCAGGGATGCTGCAAAGTGTCTCTGAACCAAAAAGAAATCACACTCATGATAACTGTTCAGAGTTCTCCAAAGAAAAACCAGGAAACAACGAGAGCTGCAGCAGCAGCAGCCAAGCCTCAGTCACAAAAATCAGCCCCCTCCTGCACTGCCTGTGAATAACATTCCTATAATTATTCCCACAGGATTAAGTGGGGCTGCTCTCACAGTCT